AACTCCTCCGGTTTCATATGCAAAAAAAATTATTGCACTAGCTCACGTGGTTGCAGAGCTACCGGGATTTAAAAATAGTTACGCAAAACAGAGCGTGCCCGCTCCGACCGGTCTAAAGGGTTAAACATCAAAGATTCAATGGAGAGCTACTGTGACAGCTGGAAGAGCTACAGGAAAACTTTTTTCTCCTCCTTTGGTGTGTTCCTCACCTGAGTGCATGCTACTGTGCACAACTTCGACCCCCAAGAGACGAAAAAGGGGAACGAGGGCTGGCGTCCAGGTGAAATGGAGAAGATATCGGAGGCTAGCTACTTGGCTGTGGGGAGACTCCCGGTGCCTGCGACCAGTTCCTCTCCTGTCATTTGCTGGGGATGTTATGCCTGTGCCTGGGACCCTGACCCCATGGCTCGAAAGCAGTTTGCTCACCCTGCTTCCGTCATCCGTTCTCCGTTTTGCTCATGACAGAGTCGCAAGCCTGCCCAGAAGGTCCACAGGTGTGCACAGGTGTTTAATTCAAGTGCCGCTGCATTCAGCTGTTGATTTCGCAGATAAACCGTCATCTGTTCGGTTCGCCCTGCTTAATGTTTGCTCCATAATGAACAAATTATTTATTCTAAATGATCTCTTTATTAAATTTTATTAGATTTTATGTGTCTGACTGAGATGTGGCAGAAACGTAAGGATTATGTTCACTTGAATGAAATCTGCCCGGCTGGCTGCTCTGTCATTGGAACTCCGCGTCTTTTGGGACATGGTGGAGGACCTGCTGCTGTTTACCAGGACAGACTCACATGCAGACTGATGACCTCGGACTCTTTTTCTTCATTTGAATCACAGATGATGAAGGTCGGTTCTCTGAAACTCAGCAGCCTGCAACAAGTGCTTTAAGCTGATACTGTGATACTGTCAAAGGAGGTAACACCTCGAATCTGATGAAACACCTGGCGACGCATATCGTTTTTTTAAAAGCCGAGAAATGCGCCGTATTTGATAGCTTGCTGGATGCTCCCAGGATGTGGTTGTGAATGCTAGAGCACTCTGGAATGCACACAAAGCCTTTGCAGACTATTAAGGATTGCACATCCTATCACTACCATATGCAAACTTATATTATTAAAAGATTATACTGACTACTAAGTACAATTTTCTATTGACATTCCCTCCTGTTTGTCACGTATAAACGTTTAAGTGAGATATCAGTATGTAACACCTTGTTGTACATTTTCTGTCACATCGTCATGAATCACACAAAGTCTTCATGTTCCAACAGGTCGGGGTCATCATCATCATCGTTTGTCACGGCTATGTATGCAGCAACAGTGGAAAATATTATGTGGTTAACCATGAGTTTTAGACATGGCAGGATGCATGTTACAAAGACACAAAATAAAAGTAAAAATACTCCAACTCCGATGAGTAATCTTTTTAGCACCTGTAGCCAGGAGCCAGTGTAAATCCAAGAATACCAGTCACTTGTATCACTTACATAGTCTTGATTTTGGGCCTGCTGGATCTGTCTCAAGACATTCAGGGCATCAGTCATGTTTGATGAGTGTACATTGTCTGCCTCGTGGTTCAACGGTTTCCGGCATCAGCTGGGGTCCTGTAAGTTTGAGCGTCGTAGTCAAGGTAACCAGGAGGGTCCACCTTCTCATGGCTACGTACAGGTCCGTCACACCCTACTACTTGGTTACTCTAGAGTTGGCCAATGGCTGGAGGTTGAAGTGCAAGCAATGCTCAATCAGCACTTCCCCCTCGCCACTGAA